ATGCATCCTCACTTCCTCCCCACTGCTTGCCTACGGATGTCCTGATAAAGCTTGACAGCAAGGTCTCTGCAGTGGACTCCCAACAGATGTTTTCCAGACCTTACTTTACTAGAACTCGGCTGCGTGTGGCAGTTGACCCACTTTGACCTTCTAGAAAGGCCTCTTTCTCTGGTATTTTGTGACATCGTTCTGGCTTTTTTCCTACTCTGATTTCTTTGTCTCCCTCATGGCATCTTCCTCCTCTTTTGCCCATTCTCATGGCTTATCCCCAAATTCCCATCCTTCACTCCCTCCTCCTGTTACTGTGCAAGTCCTTTCTATTTCATACCCTCTGTGGTGGGAGTACCAAGTGTTACATAGCCTGGGCTTTTTCCTCGTGTCTTGTCCTTCTCTGTGCAGGTGGCTAGAGGCACCTTTGTTTTCCACAGTTCCAAAGTTAAAATGGTCATCTGCAGCCTCCCCTGTCTCCCGTCTAATCTTGTCCCTCCATACCCTGTCGGATAATGGGCCATCTGCGGGACACAGTGTAAGGAAGCACCGGAATGGGATTCATCCTAAAGCCTTCCCTCCCTCAGTCTCATCCTGTGTGTATCTCAGTTTTACTACTTTTAAGATGTCAACAGTTCTTAAACTTGTTCTTCCTACTGAATTCCTTCTCCCCTTCTCAGAGCTTAATTTTCTCTCCCCTGGACTGTTGGAACAGCTCCTTGCTTCTTTGTCCCCCAGATTCGTCTGTCCTCCTGAGTAATTAATCTGAAATGCTATTCGGGGCACCTGGGTGGCTCAGTCGGTTGAGCATCTGACTCTTGGTTTCAGCTCAGATCATGATCTCATGGGTTGTAGGATCCAGCCCCACATCGGGCTCGGTGCTTGGTGGGGAGTCTGCTTGAAGATTCTCTTCTCCCCCTCACCCCACTCACACATGTGTGCTTTCTGTCTGTCTAAAGTAAATACATAAGTCTACCCAGATGACGCCGTTGCAATCTGGAGACCACTCGAGTAGCTTCCTACCACCTGTAGGTGCAAGGCCAAGCTCCTTAGGAAATTAAGGCTGTTGAGAGTGTGACCACTTCCTATTTCTCTGTTTTATTAAAACATTTTTTAAAAATGTTAATACACTTTACGTTTTATTCAACATTGGTTGGGCGTTTGTTCAGTGTGCCAGACACTGTGTGCCAGAGACTGAACTCAAAGCGATGCAGAGACCTGGTCCCTTTTTGATGGAATTTACAGTTTGGTGGAGAAGGTGACATTTTACAAGTAAACCTGTAATGTGATCCCAAATCTGACATAGCTCCCTAAGCACATGGGGTTACTGCCTGCCTGTGCATTTTGTTCATGTTCCTGCTCTGTGGGCTGACTTTGACCCCTGCTGCATTTCCTTTTCTGAGTCTCTGAGCTAGATTGGGGGTATCTCAGCCAACAAGCCCTTCTTCTCTTTCTTTGTCCCCCCTCTAGATTAATTGCCTTTCTCCTCTGTGTTCCCACAGTGCCCCGTGCTGTCCCTGTCTGTACTTTGTCCATTGTGTGGAAATTACTTGTTTGTATCAACAATCAGAGCTTTAGCCCTTCAAAGTCCAGATGCACATCGTGTTCATCTTTATACTTTCACTTGCTCATCTTGTGCCTCACTCCTAGTAGGTGCTTGACACATATTTGTGGGCTGACTAGACAAATGGTAGCCTTTGTCTTATTTGGGAACCAAACTCTACTCCTACTGGGTAAACCATCCTACCTGAACACCCAGCAGGGCCGTCCGGGAGAAGTGGGGGCTCCTTTCCCTTCTCTGAATGCTGTCTCAGATCATGCAAGGTGGAGTTTTGTTGTTGTGGCTTTGAGAATTTATTTTTTGTTAAAGCAACATTAGGTTTACAGCAAAATTGAGTAGAAGGTACAGGGATTTCTCATGTACCCCTGCCCCCCCAACCACAGCCTTCCCCATTATCAACATCCCCACCAGAGTGGTGCCTTTGTTATAATTGATGAACCCACACTGATGCATCAGAATCACCGAGTCCACAGTTTACATTAGGGTTCACTCTTGGCGTTCACTCTGTAGGCTTTTGACAAACGTATAACATGGATCCACCATTACAGTATCATACAGAGTACAGTGACTCTTGAACAACATGGGGATTAGGGGTGCCAGTTCCTCGCTCAAAGATTTACATATAACTTTTGACTCCCCAAACTTAACTACTAATAGCCTACTACTAACTAGAAGCCTTATAGATAACACAACCAGCCGATTAACACATATTTTGTATGTTATATGTATTATATACTGTAGTCTTACAATATAAATAAGTTAGAGAAAAAATGTCATGAAGAAAATCAGAAGGAAGAGAAAATATATTTATAGTACTGTATTTATTTAAAAAATCTTGAGTATAAGTGGACCCACGCAGTTTAAACTCATGTTGTTCAAGGGTCAACTGTGTTTTCACTGTGCTTAGAAATCCTCTGTGCTTTACTGCTCATCCCTCCTTTCTCCCTCCCCCTCACTGATATTTTTATTCTCTTCATAGTTTTGCTTTTTCCAGAATGTTGTATAGTTGGGATCAGGTAGTACGTAGTCTTTTTAGATAGGCTTTTTTTCACTCAGCTGGATGCATTTAAGATTCCTCCGTGTCTTTTCATAGCTTGATAGCTCATTTCATTTCATTTTATTTATTTATTTATTTATTTTAAGATTTTATTTATTTATTTGAGAGAGAGAATGAGAGAGAGCACATGAGAGGGGGGAGGGTCAGAGGGAGAAGCAGACTCCCTGCCGAGCAGGGAGCCCGATGCGGGACTCGATCCTGGGACTCCAGGATCATGACCTGAGCCGAAGGCAGTCGCTTAACCAACTGAGCCACCCAGGCGCCCAGCTCATTTCATTTTAGCGCTGAATAATGTTCCATTG